TATTATTTACCAAACAACTGTCTATTCTGTGTTTTACAGATGATCTGGGCTGATTCAACTGAGGTTGGTTGCAGTATTGGTCAATGCCCAAATAAAAATGACAGTACACGGGTTGGCCATGCATTGCTGTGTGTTCAAAAACCGAGGTAAGTCAAGACATTTCAATCAATAGCGCATACGTTGCATTAAATAATATCATTCCTAATTCCTTGTAGTTCGTTGAAGCTCAACAGCAGTCCATATCTGGAAGGACCCAGTTGTGACATGTGCCCAGATCGAAACAAATGTCACCGAAACCAGTGTTATAATGGTACACTGACAACTACCTCAATTTCAACGATTCCTTCTCCAATGTCTATTCTTATGTTTGCCAGCTTCCTTGTATTTTGTCTGAACCTGCACAATTAATACACTTATTACTTTTGTGGATTCTTAATATACCTGCAATTGCGGATTGATATAAAAACGCTCAGATTGTTGTCAGTTGCTTTAAATTGTTTAATTTTGCTTAACAAGGCTACTTAGCATTAGCAATAAAAATGTTACTCAAGCAAGCTATTTTTTATCCATTATTATTGTTTGAATGTATGAAAACTTTGTAATTTACACCAAGCGGTCCGACAAAGTCAGGAATATGCAAATTGGTCAGTAGCTGGCGACAACTGCTCCTTTTTGCCAAATGTTACCTACGTGACAGTTCATATGTGTTATAAAAAATTTGTGAATTACTGAATTCAATAAAATCCACAGTAATATTTTCCATAAACTCGATACGCGGGCTGTAAACGAAAGGTATAAATCGAAAATTGACATGAAAAATTTGGGGAAACCATTTAAAAAATCTGTATCGGGGCACGAATTCACATTAGTGAAGATATAACACACCATCTTCATCAAATAAGCTGGTAAATATTCTACTGTCTAAGCCAAGGCCGCTTTTAGAGTAGCCCAATTATAGCGAATGACCGAACAAAATATTGCTTCTTGACATGCATGATATAAAAATTGACCTGTGTTTTCAAAGCTGCATCACATATAACTCGTAAACCAACTTTAGAGTCTACATGAGACAGTAACATTTGTAGATTGTAAATGACGGGCCTTAGTACATTTGTCTAAATATGCGCATGTGTTAGTACATCAGGTCCTGATACTGATGAAAGCAGGGCAAGTTCGCATTTAGTGTATTATAATTATTATGACTTCAGCACAGGAATTTTAGACAAATATGTGTGCAGTGAACCATATTTCGTGGCATCTAAGATTTCTAAAACGAATGTGGCCTCTTAACTCTATATTTTAGGTAAAAGTAAAGACGTGATTTAAAAAAGTCTAGATCTGATTGTAATTTCTTTAGTGAATAACTAGAAACGACGAAGGTGAATACAAATTCCGGGTTGACGTCGAGATTGCTTGATGGGCAGTATTACCTCTGCTCACGAGGCGGGTGTCAGAAAAACTGAATTTAAATGGCAAAACATTATTTTCAAGACTTCACAAAAAAAGGAATGTAAAAAGAGAACGGTGCAGTATATACAAGGGTTTATTTATGAAATTTTTTACATATTTATTTAACAAAACATACAGAACCTGCTACATTAATCTGAAAATAGTTGAACATTGTTTGCAATGAACGTAATTAATCTCTCAGATATTATACGCATGCTGTCGCTTGAAACAACTTAATGATAAATACTAAATATGGCGATCAAAAAAATTACGCAATATTATCAATATAATAATAGATCAGGTAAGATAGCAATGTCTTTACAATTTACCTTCGTAATACAGGTGTTTGGTTGTAACAAGGAAGAGTTCGTTCCATTAAGTTATTAACAATTGTAGTGCAACTCTTTACAGAGAACACTTAAGGTATTTGTTTAATTGTATAATAACTTCACTTGTTTTTGTCGTAAGCTACAAAAAAGTACACGCTTCGTAATTTTTAATGACAGGACAACACTAACCTTATGAAACCACATTTAATTTTGACAAGACCTGTAAAATTATTTAATCACACGTATTAGAAACGTTTGCTGCATAGACCATCGTTTTCAGATGTAAGTACTGACTGCTCATAAGTAGTCTTTTAATTGCTCTGATTTTAAGAACGTGTTCCAAAAAAACTAGCAAAGCAGCCACATTAGGTTAACGGTTGAATTCATCATTCGAACCACATACTAAAAGTGAACTAAACTGTACATTGCTGTGATTAAATGAGACTTTTCAGCCCAGGCTATTTCTGGTCATACAACTATTATTGCATAGTAATTAATATGTATATTAATCTATCCTAAAGGCAACATGTATTAGACATTCTTCTTAAAAATATCGTACATGCATATAATTTGGAGGAAACTTTCATGCCTTTGTACGGTTTTTAACTAACAATTTTGCAACTAACTATTTGCACAAAAGAATCTATTGAATCACTGCATTGTTTTGGATTATGACGAAAAGGATACTTAATTGATTTTTGATGTTAAACTTACAACCAGTGAAAACTCCTTTTCAGATGTAACAGTACAAAATTTTTACGAGCTCTAATTTGATATAAAAAAGCACACGCATGCTTAGCCCCACATCTATCTTTGGACAACTTTTTTTTAAATCATCATGAAATAAAGGTTTAAAATACGCCATTCTTACTCTCAGGTTTTATTAACTGTGTAAAATTAAAAAAGCGTAAAGGGCCACTTTATCACTACTTCTATTTGTAATCTAATCATGTAGCGTTTAACTAAACAATAGGTTGTGTGAGGTGTTTATATTAATATTGAGCATCGCAACATGCATGGTTCCCGACTAGGCAGAGCCTCAGGTCATAATAATACACGGCAACTTGGTCGGCACGTCGTACGATTTTCCTCATGATTTGATTGCGCTCATGACCTGTGCAGAATACTTCCTGCCAATTCATACCAGTTTTATTCCATGGAAGATTTCGTGGCATCAAATAAGAGTGTGCGTATTTGTTTACCTCATGCTCTTTCCTTTTGCGCAACTCGTTTGCTTTAAAAAGGTGCAAATTTAACACCATGGCTCATCAAGCAAGGACGGTAATATTATGATCATCTTACAATTAATTCAAACACCCTCAAAATGTGTTTAACTAAAATTTCCCAATTTAAAGAATGCTTTCAGAACTACCTATTATGTTACACTCATCACAATATTTTATACCATAAAATGCACAGGGCCGCAAATCGTTATTTTGTATAAATTAAAGTAAAACAACTGTAGTGACCGATATCCTAATGGTTTTATCATAAAAATACAATTATAGACATCACCTATAGCTAACTAGCTTACTAAACTATAACTCCACGATTTTAAAACTTAAAAAATGCGACTTGTTTGTAACCAGACACCACATGCGCCCGCTTTTCAATTTATTTGCCCTAAAAAAGTCCATGCGTCTTATTTTTCATAAGCAATAACTCCAAGTTAACTGTGTGCCTTTTTTCTGGCTTTTAACTTTTGGTAAACACATTGTTGGCTTACTCACAGTTTCTTGCAATGCGTTATGAAATACAATGAAGCAACTAAATGAGCCCATCACTAGCTGGCACAGGACTTTGATGCATATTGTTTTCATGAATTGAGCATCCATCTTGGCGGTTTCCACACTTTTTTATATAGTTTTGTGCACCTAAGCGAACTCAGACCTACTCCACCAAAATGGAACTACTAGCTTTGTTGTTTCTGAGGGGATGTAGTGTGTCTCTTCCGGAATATTCAAATGTGGAATATATTCAGCATTCGTGGCACATCCGCAAGCCCTCATACTGTGATGGATTACGCCACGTCGACACATTGGAAAAAAACACTTGTGTAGGAAGTTGCTACGAATACAAATAGGCAAGATGCGTTGCTAACTTATTGTAATCTGCGTGATATTATTTTCACCAAAATGTTATTAGAAAAAGGGAGCTGAACCTTAACGTTATTTTTGAATGAATTTTTTAAGCCTACGTTTGTACTAGAGTCGAAATTTGAACATTTAGATAACAGGTGGTAAGTTAATTTGCATGTAATTAGAAACAAGTGGTTACTCGTATCCCTTCGATAAGCTAAACAATATTAATTAGGAAAAGTATATATACTGGCCACAGTAATAAGGCAAAGGCAGATGTGAATACATTATGAGGGGTGCTTAGTATTGATTTAGGTATCACAATCTTACAAATCTCTGTGGATTGATAATAACATTTACACTGTAGAAAAGCTGATGTGTTTTAGCAACATGTATCATGTAAAAGTCACTAACATTAATTAAATTGCCGTGGGAACAATCCCAACACGTTTGAATGACAACGTTTTTGTAGAATGCGATTCACTTGGCAAACAATAAATCGAGTGGCTGTGAAAATGTGGGACACTAGCAGCTCTATTTTAGTTAGCTGTTTGCTAGGTTTTATTGAGCAATTTCAAACAACAATTTTGTGCATATCACTAGCAAAGCAATTGAATTGCTAACATCTTGAGATTTTCCACAAGCACAACGCCTTTAGTAAAAAAACACAAACTCCTAGCCAATAAAATGTTTTGAGAAAGGAGAAATCATCATACAGTGGTCACACAGATTGCAATTTAGTTTTAATGCAATTAATTTCAACACCGAGTAGGTTAACTTAGAAATAAATTAGACTCATATTTCAGACAATAGAAAAACCTGTCTTAGAATGATTACTCAAACAAACTTCGTCCGAAAGCAAACAATTCACTGCGTCGAACAAGGGAAGATAGCGTGCACAGGCAATGATATTGCGGAAGTTCCTGCCCACGCACTTGATTACACGTGTGCCTCTTCGACAACAACCACAGACTATATAAGTCGACGACGCGACGTTACTTTTCATGGTGAATCCTTTCGTAATCGTGCGGAATTCTTGAGTACTCACACAATGTCATGTAAAGCAATCTACTTCTGACACTTGAACACTCAACTTGTAGATATCCTGCCAAAACTGGTTTTTCAACTTGTGCTCGCATGGCATGCATTATCCGAGGTGCCCTCTAAAGAAGACCGTTGGGAAATCATGGAGATCCATGCTACACTACGTGAAGAAGTACAGCCAACTGCTAGCAATATGCAACTGCTGGTGAATTGATCAATGTTATATGCTTAAATATAAAAATTACATTTTCAAGTAGTTGAGTCAAATCATTGAAGTGTTCAGGTTGTCTGAAGGTTTATTTTAAAATATTTATGCATAAAATCTTTGCTGTGCATTTTGCTTTTCTTATTGTAAACGGCATTAATATTTAAGTCTAACTATTTATTTCCATGACTCAATTAAAAAGGTTTAATTTCAGGTTAGATTAGGCTTCCGAATTCAGATCTAAGACCAATACTGCAAGGTCGAACCCAATAAAACGTTGCATATTTAACACTTTTCCTAATACAGACGTACTCTGCCGAAATGGAAAAGCTGGCTGACGACTTTTTAAGAAAATGTGACATTACAAGTGGTCCGGCAGGATTATCGGGTATAGGATACGTTGGACCATTTACCAAACCGCATAAGTTTAGTTATTCTGACGAACTGATGAAAATCAACAGTGATACTTACAACTACAAGGAGAACAAGTGCACTGCTGGCTGCCTCGATTACAAGCAGGTTAGTGTTACTTTAAATAGTTTTGCTATTTGAAGATGATATAAAGTGAAGCTGCCAGATATCAGCATATTTAACCACACGAGAGAAAGTTAAAAAAGAGAGTACTGTTTTTGTCGTCAATAATCCATCTGTTGACACTACAGCTGTTAATTCAATGTACAATTCTAATGACTGGATGAACTTGTAATAGTGTACCAGGAAAAATAGCAATTTCGACAATGCAAAAACAATTTAAGCTATCGGAATCCATGTTTCAGATGGTTTGGGCAACATCGACGCAAGTTGGATGTGCAGCAAATAAGTGTCCTGACCGCAGTAATGGATCGAAATTTACCTATGTAATGATATGCATTTACACACCTGGGTGAGTCAGATAATTTATTTTTGAATGGTGTCTTCGCGCCGATTTATCAGATTTTTAATTCATATTAGCAAGGAGAGTGTACAAGAAAGACCCTATGAAGATGGAAGCAGTTGTAGTCGATGCCCAGATAATTACGGATGCGACCGAAATCAGTGTTTCAAAAATGCAACGGTTTCCTCAAGCCTATCAACGGCACCAGCAAAAACCTTTTCTACAACAAGGACCCTGACAACAATGGAGTCTGACCACATTGGTACACGGCCAACTAGGTCAATGTCTCTAAAAACGACGTCTGTATCCTTAGCGCCTTCAAAACTGGAAGTCTTACTTTTTTTCGCATTCTTTGTCTTCTGCTTCTTGTAGGTTCCATTATATTTTGTGTGCCAAACATTTCTTTCAAATGTTCCCTTTTTTAAACGAATTAACCACATCTGACTTCCTAAGATAAGTCGCGTATGTTTTCAAAGAAACAGTTGTACTGAATTTTGCAAATGTATCTTTAAAAAAAATTGATGTTTTTCTGAGTAATTGTGTTTAATAGAAAACATAAGATTGGTTACTTTTCTGTTAAATTTTGTTAGAAATCAAGTCGCATGCAATAAGCGTAAGTATAAAAAAATAGTAGCAAAACAAAGGTATTTTAAGGAGGAAGGACTTGAATTAAGGAAAAGCCTAAGTAGGTAAAAATAAGAACTGAAACATAGTCACTGAGCATACATAGGCCATAGTTTGATTGCAAAATTGTAAGTGGAGTGTAATGTCTCAAGTTAACTCAAAAAATAAATATCTAAACACCTTTATAGGCTGACTTTCATATTCTTCATATTCAAATTGCCTTAACTTCTCTAGAATGCAGAGTTGTTGACACTTTTTGAGTTAAGTTCGGTAACATAAAACGATTTTATTTGCAGTAAGATGACATGGACAAATACGGTCTCCATGATTTTTTAAACATAAACAAAACTCCCTATGCTGTGTGAGTTACATACAAGTAAGACGGATTGGCCAAGAGATGAGAGGTTAAAAACATAGCACCCATTGTTATGTGCCATAACGATTAACATAAAATTATGAAATATGATATTATAGTTAGCTTTTCCATGAAAGGTAGCACTAAACGCCTACCAAAGCAACAACTACAAATATCCGACGGCGTTTGAAAAAGTCCTAAAAGAAGGCAAAGTTTGCATCAACTAAGAATCTACTTGACTAAAGAATTTAAAGAAGCAAGTAAACTGTCATTGAGAAAATTTACTTTTCGTTTGCACAACTATCACTTTCGTGAAATTCATGATATTATAAAAAGCTTTTTAATTAATAAAAATGTGATTCGTCGCAATTTACTGCTTCAGAGATTCCGATGCATTTTTTGCATGGAATGGCTTTGATCTGACTTAACGGGCCATGTGCAAAAAATTAAAAATGAGATTTTATCACTTAGCATTTGAATTTTGATTTGCATGTTTAAAAGTATCACTCGTAACTACCGCTTTGATGGCATCATGGAAAGTTTAATCACGACAAAACATGCGGTGCAATAATAGGATTCAGGAAAAAAAATCGATGTAGACAATCTTTGCACATCAAAAATTGATTGGTCTGCTCAAAGGGATTACGATTGTTTAAGAGTGGTTGCCAATTAAATTTAAAAGGATCAGACTAACAGGATGCATGCACCTTAACAGCTGACGGCTTGTAGACAGGGATTTTCATTTCACGCCTAACCACGAGTGGCAAATCTTGTTACCGTGTGGGGTTTGTAGACTAAACTCTATGGACAGAGAGATTTAAATTTCGTGTTTTTTGCCTAAAAAACTCTGCGAGTGATTTGCAAATGATATCGTTCTAATAGCAATTACTTTTAAGAGTGCGTTTTCTAGTAGAGTGGAAACTTGGCGTTTTGGCAATTTCCTTTTAGTAAAAAACACTGCTTCATTCGTCGCTTTGAAGATTTGTTTGATTATAATGATTATACTGCACGCCAAAAACAAATATTCATATAAGCCAATACAGTAAGTGTTCATGGTACTACGGGATTATCATCAAGTTGTCAGTTACGTGGAGAAAATGCCAAAAGTATTACATTGGTTTCCAATTGACAGCGCAAGTTTTTTTTCGAAACACAACAGTTTGCATTTTGCTTATGCGTGTAAATAGATTATATATATTGCCGCAGTATAAAATTGAAGGTAAGAGTCTAAACTCCTCATTTTAGTGTCACTAGAAAATGTTTTAAGCATTAGTTCCACAGATACGCCTAAATAAACTCTGCCGGTATTTTCGTATTTATTGCTAATGTATTAGGAAAGGATAGGGTGAGTTTTTAATGCACCAACTAGTCATCTGTTTAAAAATTGAAATCCTTTTCTTTCAATGCTGTCAACTTCAGATGCCGACTAGTTTTCTTTTGGGGACCAGGATACACCAAGATGGTTCATTGGCAATTTCGCAAATGGTAGCCTCTTACACTCATTATGTCATGTTAAGTTCTATTCAAAAATATATATTTGGAAGATAAGCAATAATTCTGGTAACGTTTAATTCATCCCGTTTAAATCTATTATGTATTTTTATCAAGTTATTGCGATATAAACCTATGCCGCAATTATGGTAAAATTCTTAAAATTGGACGTTATTTTTGTCGTAAGACAAAATACTGCCTAAACGCCTGGGTTAATTTTTTCCAGTTTTATGGTGCGAACACTTCTAATTTAAAAGCCTGGCAGTGTGGCAGCAATGATAACGTCATATTTAGTCTATGAACTCAAGATCTATTCTGTCATTAATATGAAATTGCATACCAAATTACCTAGTGTTAGGTGAGGCTCCTATTTTGTCGTGACAGGTTGGGTGTGTCAAAAGCGACAGTTAAAATTGCAAATACCTTCTAACAAGCTACACCCTTTTGGTTTCATTGAAATCTTAATCCAATGAGAGTCTTTGTTTGTTTTGCCTAATAGCAAAAACAACACTATTAGCAGGTTCAACACAAGTATTTGTCAAGATTTTACCCACCAAAAACGTTGTTATAATACAAAAACTTAATGTGTTTTGCATGTTGATAAGATGTACATCAAAGTTTCGTAGGGCTTATAATCCCGCAAAAGTTCATGATCGTTTGCTTGAAATCTGCCGCACAATCAAAACTACTTTCATCTGGGGGAACTTCCGCATGTTAATATCTGCATGCGTTGAGCACGCTCAATCCAGCAAATGAAGTCATCCAATTGGAAGAGTCGCAGGTACTGCCTCGTGACTGTATTTTGCGATTGCTAACTTGAAAGACGCATTGAAATTTAAATTAGGTTTGAGTGAAGCAGTGGGGAATTGATTTTTGTTGAATACTTCAATGCATAATCATTACAAGCCCAAAATCCATTTGCGAAGCCCCAGAAAAATGGTGTTTTGTAGAATATCTATTTGTTTTACTAAGGGCTCACTTCAATTTCTGCTTTTGTCTAAGGATTTAAAGTGCAAATTTTACAAATGTCACGTTTGGTATTAGAAACATTCCACCTACAGAACTATAACAGCTAACGCATTATTTGATTTTCAAGCACATTTTATTCTGATGGTGTGGCACAATTTAAAGTTAGGTTTTAATAGACAAACTAGCCACAATACTCTAGGAAAACATAATATTCCAATATGTGTTCTTTAACATGTCGCATTCCAAATATGTACGTTATTAAGGTGATATTAATAATGCAAAACTAAACACAGGACTGCTATGAATTTCTTCTGCTGATTTTCTGACCACAAAGAAAACCGAATCCCAGTCATTTTGAATCCTTTTATTTTAAATCATTGATCTCACTTCAAACACCAACAGTGATTTCTTTCTATATCTCAAAACAACATAACCGAGTGTATTAATGTCTACGTTTGAATGGTATTTTATAACAGAAATTTTGCAATGTTGGCGAATCACATTCCCTACGGTTGCTTTATCCGTCGATTTGCAAGTATTTTTCAAGTGGTATAAGCGAGACTATTTTGCGAGATGATCATTAAATGCGTATAATTGGTTTATTTAGTTGCATTTATTGTCGCTTCGTTTAACAGAAACAAGACTTGAACTTATATACAACTACATCAAAATGTTTGCAATTGCAGTCAAATGTACTTGACAACAAGTTTATTTGCTCATTTGTCACGGTTCTAGATCAAAATTATGTTCCTCCCAATCATTGAATCTATGCTTCAAACACCCATCATGGGAAGCGCCTTTAGCTTCCTCATGAATTGTTATAGAGGTGATCTGACAAAAATATTACAGTTATCATAGAATTTTAGACAATTATTTATAACTTTCCTCAAACTTGTAGTATTTGCAAAAAGCTTTACCCTGGGAAGAAAATAAAGGCTGCAAATAGGAACGCCAGCGAGTAGCCAAGTACCTCAGGTGATTAGTGCACAGGATATCACATGACATTGTTTTGCTGCAAACCTGGTGTGGAAATTACTTCGATATGGTAGAAATATTTCGATTATGGTAGATGATATTTATCTAATTATTTTTCTGCAATTTTTTTTTTAAAATCATTTTTTAACTTGACGGAGTGTATTCACCTGGTAGCACAGCGATGCACTCACAATTTGCACAAAATAAAAATTCTTATTGTGAAATACCAGACCAACTTTTGGATTGTCAGTTCAAAGGTTTTGAGTACCAAAAGAGCCATTAAAATTCGAAGTGAAATGTTTTTCGTATCGCGGCGAGATGTTACAGCCCTTTTATCCCCCACGAGGCGAAATCATATAAATGAAACAGTTAAATCAACCTAAAAAGGAACCTCTCGTGCACTTTGTACTCCTAACATATTCTGGTAAGGCGCAACGTTGCACTTCCATTGACTTTCTTTCATACATTGCAGATACCATGCACAAACTCATCTCTCTTCTGGCACTGACACTGCATGTGTTAGCCGATGTTCCGTCTGAAGAAGAACGTCGCACACTCGAGGAGTGTCATTGGAAGCTGCGAGAAAGCGTTGATCCACCGGCCAGCAACATGCACCTCATTGTAGGTTGACGATTATTTTCCTAACTCGTACTGCCTTTCTTGAATTGCTCAAAGACGTCGATCAATGTACTGCTAAATGTATGGTTTAGTCATCCAAAAAAGGAAGCCAAAGGTCATCACATGAAAAAAAGTAATTGAATTAAGACAGTTGTTATGCAATTGTATCTTAGGTTGCATGGTTTTAAACCAACGCTCATTTTAACTACCAGTGCATTCATTCATTGCATTTCTTGGCATGTCGTCAAATATGTGTTTCTGCAAAATTTCGTTATAAGCATTTTTGAGCCTGAAACTGCACAGGAGTTTTATTAGCTCTTGATTTTTAAATACGCCTTTA